AAAAAACAATCCTTACCTCTCTGGATACGAACAAAGGTAAATAAATCAATACTAAAAGATGTAGAACTCAGGATATATTAGAAGATGTTTCTTGAAGAAACAATGAAGCAAGAAGAAGATTATTTAATATTCTGTAGAAAATTACATTTGTATTTAATATGAAGAATAGAGTCGGTGAGAAAAGTTTCAGCAAATTTGTTTCTTTCAATGTGTTTTATCCATCCGGTGACGTAACCAGAAGGTGGCAAATGACTGCTAATATAAATTCTATTGTCCATGAATTCTATTGAGACGATGGTAATTGGCGAATGTCAAAAAATCTTAATAGCTATACATATTCGAAGAATGAAGTCAGGCAATTTCAATACTCTTTATCTTAATGAGATCTAATTAGATAAGTGATTTAGGAAGATCACTCTACAATCTTTTTCATTGAATCAATGATCACAATAGTGACGATTCAATGGTAGTTTTCATGAAAATACTCACTACTGAACTTAAATTCACTATTGAGAAATGTGAAAGAATGCTGAATGACTTTTCTAAGAATGTAAAATTGTATTGAACAGAAATGACTAAAGCTATTTAAGGAGAGAATCTCTTCAAATGCTGAAAAGCTTCTGAGCTCAAATTTTGTCCAAAGATAGAGAATATATAGATTAGAATAAATCCTAATAGGATATACTTTCAACTTGTAATTTGGTTTAGATATCGTTCTTTTACTACAATCTTCCTGTAGGATTACATTTTTGCAGTAAAATCAAAGTTTCAAGTCATAACTCGAAAGTTTGATTTCATCGGAAGAGTAGAGCCCCACAGAAAAATTATAGTAAAAGAACGATATATGAGCCAAATCGGAATTTGAATCGATATCCTCTTAGAATATTTCTAGTCTATGTATTCTTTACCTGAAGGCAACATCTAAACTCAGAATCTTTTTAGCATCAGAAGAGGTTTTCTCATACGCTAAAATCTTTCATGTGTAACTTATGACATGATTTCATTCTATTTATTGTTTATTCAGGCTTCCTAAAAACAAAATAATCAAATATTTGAAAGTCGAAGAGTAAATTGGTAAAATAGTACAAAGAAAGCGAGTGCGCATGCTTAGTAATTGTGGATGACAAGTTTCTATTCATTAAACATTGGCTTTTATAATGGGAATAAGTTCCTAAGAAACTATAGTCGGCTAGATTTTTTAATTATCCATTGCTACTCACTACTCGAAAATGCTTGCATACATCCCTGCCGTACACATCTGTTGTTTCAATTTTACTTTCATATGAAGAGATACTCATTTAATTCAAATGATGATATATATAGTAAGAGAGGCCGACTACATAATGTAGTCTTGGAGGGAACTACATCCCTCTTTGTAAGTTTTTCATAATTGAAATAATCTATTCCCAGCGAAAATAAGTTTTAGTCATTTCCAGTTTTTGACATTTTATAACCAAGAGATCTCTACTAAAATGAAAAAAAAAAGTAGACCACACAATAGAGATTTTTACGCTCTATCTGTTTCTAAAGAAGAATTCTGTTCTCAAAGTTAGTCTTTACATCAAAATTCTGATTAGAACGAGATTAATCAAAAAAAAACTAACTGTTTTTTGTTTCATCAAAATGATTAAAAAAGAAACGTTAATTGTATTTGTCAAAACCTATTTTTCAAACAAACATGGACATGAAGAGGGAGCGCCCCGACTGGGACCGTATTCGTCCCTAATGAATTCGTCCCATGTTAATTTATTCCAAATTCGTCCCATTGAGGTCCTCACAAAAAATGTCAATTCCGAATTCGTCCCGTTGAGATCCTCCCGTAAAATGTCAATTCCGAATTCGTCCCTTCACATTCCTCCTTATTAATTTGTCTTTAACTAATGTTAGTTAGTATAAAATTGTTGGCTTTATTGTTCTGTGAATTTATGAATGGCGCACAGCGCCACCTTTTGAGTGAATAAACAATATAAGGACGTCCATATGTTATTCGATCACGACAAGTATATCGGATCGATTGATCCGAGACAATAAATAATTTTAACTGTTAAATAATATACATATTTTCTATATACTATGCTACAATTTACAACATCGGAGCGCAATAAACCTGTTTTAAATTACAACAGAAACCAATATACTCTTAAGAGAACAGGTGCAACAACGAATGAGTGGAGATGCCGTCAGCGAAAATGCTCTAGTACTTTATCTCTTACATCTGACAACACGATTGTCTTTCGTGCACCGGCATTCATTAAGCTGGTGTTCCTCTGTATATGCGCTATACATTTAAGCTGGTGTTCCTTTGCATTGAAAAAGTGTTCCTCGTCTAATTAGAATATATTATATAGATATGTTCTAGTTAGACGAGGAACACTTTTTCAATGCAAAGGAACACCAGCTTAAATGTATAGCGCATATACAGAGGAACACCAGCTTAATGAATGCCCGTGCACCTTCAGCACATTCATGTGAAAAACAATATGCTAGTAAACAAATTATTGATGAAGCAATACAAAGAATGAAAAAACGTGCACGAGAAGAAACAACAACAATTCCAAAGATATACACAGAAGAGCTGATTCGAACTCGTCTTGAAAATCCTTCAATGGTGACTGGCATTTCATATCCTGATCTTCGTAGTGTTGATTCATCATTGTATCGCCAGCGTGCGCTTGATTTTCCTCGATTACCAAGTGATCTCTATAATTTTAAAATTCCTTATGAATGGACTTTAGGGGTTTACGTGCTGAACCATTCTTGTTGATAGATGAATTCTGTAAGTCTATTTGGATGATGTTTATTTCGATTTAACAATTTTATTAATTTAGATGGTAATAATAATCAAGAAAGAATGCTAATTTTTGCTACTGATTGGTCTTTATCTTTTTTATCAGCGTGCTCAAGGTGGCACTCTGACGGAACATTTAATGTTACACCTCTTCGATTCGAACAAGTGTATGTTGTTTGTGGATTTAGTGAAGATTTCATGATTCCATGTGTTTATGCACTTACTACTAGAAAAGATCAAATAACTTATAGTAAACTTTTTCATCATATTATAACACTTGGTGAAAATAGACAAGGAGTACGTATGAGACCAACAAATTTAACATGTGATTTTGAACAATCAGCAATAAATGCTTTTAAGCTTGTTTTTCCAGGTGCACATGTGAAAACATGTTTTTTTCATTTTTGTCAAAGCCTATGGAGGAAAATTGTTGATTGTTCTCTCTCTAAATATTTTATTCATCCTGATGATAATGATATAACAGATCAAGAACGTAAAAATGCTAGTTATTGGTTTAATGGTGCAATTGGTTAAGCATTAATACCATCAGAATTGATTCAAAATGTTTGGGTTGATCTGATGGACAATTATACAACAGATAATGGTGGTGGTACTGCATTTAATGATTATATAGTCTCCACCTATATCCCATGGCGTAAAATATCTAAGGAAACGCACTGTGTAACGCGTTTCCAAGATTGGGGCGTGCGTTTCGCAGCGTTTCTTCGAGACGGAATGCGTTTCACAGTATTTTTACGTATATAGAACGCGTTTTGCTGCCTTGAGTTTTTGAAACGATACGAAACGCTTCTTTTTGCGATTACGTTTCGAAGCGTTTCCCAAATGAAACGCTGTTAAACTCATTAAGTCGACAAGAAAAGCATTGTACAGAGTCACAACTCGGAGAAAATGCGAAACAGGTTCTTTTAAAATGGATTTGCATCGGTTACGCTTCGAATGATGCAAAACTGATCTCTTTTGTTAGAGCATCTCGCACCAATTCATCTTCAAAAAGCATGTAAGTTAAGAAAAGTCAACTCTGATATGATTTTGGAAATTATGCGAAATGGTTTTACAAAAAATTTGCTGATTGCATTGTTTTTGATCCTCAAGATGGCGGCGCAGGTCTTCCTTAGCCAAAGTCAGAATTAAGCTCTTCTAAGACTTCAACGAATTACGTCGTTTTCTAAGGCTATTTCGAAGTTAGGCTAGTATTGAACATCAGAGTGTATTCTACAGTTATCTTCTATTAGAAAACTCATTTCACTACGTTTTCATTCAAAGAAAACGCGTTTCGTAGGATTGAAACTAGAATTCTGTAAAATGTTGAAGAATTTGAAGAAATTCAGTAAAGACTGATGCAAAAATAATCCGTAGGACAGCTCAATGTTGTTGTGTGAAAAAAGTATTTTCGGATAATTTACGATTTATAATAATAATTATTGATAATTTATGTATGGACTGCGTTATAGTAGCTGATTATATACTCTCCGAAACATGACTAGAGTATCACTTTCGTTCGTACACTATCGATGTATGTAAGTGCGGCTTGTTGATAAAAGAGATTCGAATTACAGAAAAAATATTTTTGTAGTTATGATTGCACTTGGATTTACTGATCATGGATTTACATGTACAAAAAAAACATTCAATCCAACAAAAACTTTGCAAGTTTTGCATAATTAAGAGTACAGTTCTTTTGAATTTAAATTTACGAAATTTAATCTTTTTAAAATTTTTAATTCAATTTATATGGAATTAAATTCATTTTAATTGGGTATTTAAACTTTAAAAAAATAAAGTTTTACAAATTTAAATTTCTAAAAGTTAAATTTAAAATAAATTGACGGAAAATGACACTCTTCCTTGGATAAAAGCAGCAAAAAGAATATCATTTTTCATCGATTCATTCAGACGTGAAACAAAATTTATTCGAATCATAGATTTGTACAAGACATCTAAATAAGAATAGAGCAAACACTTATATCATTTGACTATTTTAGTTGAACGGTTTGTATACATATCTTCTATTCTTATGTTCTCCTGTTCGAATCCATCTCTTAACTTTATCAAAACTAATGTAAGTTAACTCTATAATTCTATGAATTAATGTAAACCAGTATATAGATCACACCTGCAAGTTGAGTTCTACGAAGTGCTTGACGAGTTTTGTTTTTTTCTACCCTTCAAAGTATGCAATACCACAGATTCAGAAACACTGCGAAATGATTTTAAGAAAAAATCGTTTCGCAACGTTTATTTTAGCAAATGTGAAACGCGTTAAACCGGCCAGCATTAACGCGTTTTGCAGCTATGAAAAAACGCGTTTTCAGAACACGTTTTTTTCGCAAAAATTTACGCCATGGGATTGATTATAGTTCTGCTCGTTTTGTCTATGATCTTTGGAATATGCATTCAGAAATTATTGAACGTTTTCCACGTACTAATAATCACGTCGAAGCATTCAATAAAAGAATGAAATCGATTTTTCCAACTCATCCTCACATTTTCAATTTTATCCAATGTTTACGTCAAGAGCACGAACATCAACATCATCGTGCAGAAGAATCACTTTTCAATGTTAGCAAGCGAAAAAAAATTAGTGAAAATATTGATTCGATGCTTCTTTTCCATCTTCAACAATATTCTGATGGTAATCTTACTGCTATGGAAATTGCTATCAAGTGTGGTCGATGTGTGAAAATAAACTATACCATTAAATAATGATTCTTTCATGTTGTGTCTTTTTTCTCTTATTGCTCATATTTTTTTTTCAACAAATTATTTGTCAGATGATTATTCAGTTAATAATATATATTATTAATATCTCTTTCTGACTTAGTTAGAGCCGAAAATGATGGAACGAATTCTGAGTTGACATTTTTCGTGAGAATCTCGATGGGACGAATTTGGAATCGAATTTTTAGTCTTTAACCTGGACGGGACGAATTCGGAAAATTTTTCACGGGACGAACTTTTACCAATTAAGAATGGTCCTAGTCGGGGGCAACCCCATGAAGAATGATTGGTATTAAAATTTCAAACTAGTGTCCTGCGGAAACAACTTTTCTCGTTCCCGTTCCCATTCCCATAAAAGTAATTTTTTATTCGCATGTTCACATTCCCGAACCTTTAAGAAAAATTTTGTTCCCATTCCCGTGTTCTCATTCCCAAAAGGCTTCCACAATTCCTCCTATGATTTCATTTATCGTGAGTCAAAAATAAAAGCAGACGTTTTCTGGTGTTATCTTCTCTCAACATCACGTTTCTCACCCCAGGTCCAATAAAACGGCGTCGTAAACGGCCTGAAACGGCTATAAAACGGCGATTAACGATGTAAAACGTCGATAAACGGCACCGTAATCCGTCATACCAGATTACGGAAGCAAAACCGGAAAAAAACGACCGCCGTTTTCTAGCAATAGACGGTGGTCGTAGTACGGTATGACGGATTACGGCGAAATAAGGCCAAAATTACTGCAGTAATTCGCCGTTTTATAGTCGTTTCAGGCCGGATACGACGCCGTTTCCGACGGCCGGAATGATCCACCTGGGACAGTGTAACATGGTATAAATTAAAAATAAATGTTGGATTGAAGGTTCATCTTTAACAATTAATCAAGAGGAAAAAAATCCAAATAACATGAAACTTGTATTAATAATAAAAAAATTAATTCATCGAATTATATATACAAAGAAGAAAAATCAATAATAATACATAAATGATTATAAAACTAAAAATTTTCACATTAACCGTTGTTTTACTCGATTTAACAATCTAAAAAGTATAAATAGATTATTTTCCAACTTCTTAGAATATATTCATATATATTTATAAGTTAATTTATTTTCAAAACATAGCTTTAGTCTCTCTATAATTTATTTCAGTCAATTACCTAGTTTCATCTAATATTATTAAGTCAATTTATTTATTGCCAAATGTAAATTTATATCTGAAATTTCAAATTATTACTCTTTTGTTCCGAATTTTTTATCTGTTTTTCTCTCATAAATTACGAAATGCGAAATAGACAATGGTGAGATCAAGGTGAATAACTTGTTTCATTGACTTGAGAGAAACAGAAACAGAAACCGAAAGAGAATATAGAGATCCAAAGAAACCAACAAAATAAGTCATTACTTGAAAGAGAACATAGATACATCAATGTGTCATGACTCATCAGAACAAGTCAAACAGCAGAAAGAAAAGAAAAAAAACAACATTTAACAAAAATGCATGTCACTAAATTACATTTTCATACAAAACCAATTTTTATTCGATCTTTTCTATTCGATATCATTCTACTCGATCTATAAATCAATGCTGGCACAAATTGGATAATAACAATTGTGATTCAACAAAAGACTGAGTGTTAATAGTTAATATTGTATTCTCTTTCTTTTCCTTGAAAAGATAATAGATGACTTGTATTTTATTCATAATTATCAAACTCTAATTGAGTATATTTCAATCTGTTCTCTTTTTGATCCTTTCTTTTTTTTTTTAAATTTAAAAATCATTTTCATAACTAATCTCATACAGTTTTGAATGCAAAGAAATGAATCGAAATGAAATTCCAAATTTGAACAAACATCAAAATAAAAATATGCAAAAAAACATAATGAAAAATATATAAAAAATCAATTATTGACAAAACGATTCGATGTCTTGTATGCATTAGAAAAGGACTAACTCTTACTTAGATATTCTCTTTTTCAGCTCTATCAATATGTATATAAATATTTTTGGACTTGTTCAATTTAATACAGAAATCAAGTATATACTAAAAAACAAAAAGAAAAGATAATATGGCAACTTAATTTTGTGCTCTATTTTCTTATATAATGATGGTTGAAGAGATGTACATATGTATATTTTTATTAAGTTAAATTATTTATATCAAATGAGATATTATGAAGAAAATGATTAAATACTGAGACTAATAAAAGGAAACATTGTATTGAAAAGATTAATTGAAGGTCTACTTAGATATTGTTTCATAGATTTTCAGAGACAAGTTAGAAAATGCTAAAAATAAACATGTTCAATAGTTCTCATAAACTCTCTTCTAAATAAATTATTTTCAATAATACATATGCTCTTATAAGTTAGAAAGAACTGTTATAATCTTTTACTCCCATTGACAAATGAAGTAAATATGTGTAGTAATCTTGTGAAATTTTAAAAAATTTCAAGTTTCAATACTTCTATCTACATTATTTTTATTGCATATTGTAACTCGAACAAGAAGAATATTACAAGTCCATTTGTCCATATTATTGAGATACCAGGGTGAC